AACGTCTATATAACTAGATATCGTTTTCACGATTCCTTTTTAGTTACCCACCACCTCCATTGTTATCACCTCCAGCTCCATAGTTGTTGAAATCTTGTCTTGGGATGTAATGGTGATTCTCCACGCTGCTTCTTGGGTGTTCTATTTTCTCAGTTAAATCTTCTTCATTCCCTCTCATCTCTCGGGATATTTTCTCGTTTTCTTGATTATTTGATCGGGGAGTTATATTCCTCGCAGCCAAACATGAGCTTACCATGATCATCATTACCATAATAACAACCACAGTATGTTTAGGTTTTGTTCCCATCTCTGTTTTGTACTAATGAACTGCAAAAGAAAAATAGAACAGTCTTTCAAAATTAAAGAACGTTCACGATCTGACTATATTGACATAAAATGAGTAAAAGCTTACCTTTGCAACTAATTAAGACAAGCTTTGATGGGTTCAGTTAGTTACCCTTAAGGGACGAAGATGGAGAGTTTAAAACATAGATATTTATACATGCATGATGCATAAGAGATTAGGGTTTTTGTTATATGGTGGGTTGACTATTTCAGATATATTCTAAGATTATACGATTTGGGTATACGATGTGACGGGGCTAGTGGTGAGACAATCGCAAGTGCGAGAGGCCCTTGATTGGGGAATTCGAAAGTTATTGTAATTATTTTTTTTTCTTAAGAAGGAAAGAATTGCGATGGCAAATGATGGAGTTTGTTGAAAAATGATTGTCTATATTGGCACTACAAATAGGGAAATCCACGTTACTTTATGATATTAGCTGAATATCAAGTGGTGGTTTCCATTGGTAACTAGGATTTTTCTAAAAGACCTGAGTAATTACGATTTGTGTCTCACTTTTGAATATTCTATTGATTGGGATGCTTAAATAAATTGGAACTAGATTTTTGATATGCATCAAATGCATGTTTAAAATATTCAAAACTAAAAATTCGTGATTTTTATAATATACGTAAAAAATTAGAAATAACAAAAATCAAATGATGTATATCCCACATAGATAAATATATGTTAGTTTACAAAATTTAATTTCTATGACACTTAAACTAAATGTAAGTGTTTTCAATGTAAAACTAATACATTTAAAACTATTGGTTCTTTCAAAATTATTTGAACTCATCAAAACCAAAAAACATATCACGTTAGTATATATGTAAAAATCTTTTCAAATAAAATATCAAATAAATAATAACAAAAAGTGAAAATGATGATTTTTCAAAATTCAAGCACTTGATTTGTAAAGTTGTACGCTTATAACAAAAGCGCAACTTTAATTAGACTAATATGGATAAAATTAAATGATATAAAAAAAATAATTGTATGATCAATCACATATGTATCTAATTGGATATTAATGCAATTTTATAAATTAATTGATATCAGATAATGATTCATCGCATTCATCGCTAAAACACTATGTCATATGGATAATATTAAAATATTATATTTTAGTTGGATTTAAATTTGTAACACATGTATTTGTCAGTTCATGTTAAAAAATTAATATAAATATGTAGAAATTTCTAATATGACATATAGATTTAATTGGAATGATTTGATTGGTTAATTAATATGTCTTTTAAATTTTTCTTTGTTTGACTCTTAAAATTTTTGTTGTGAATGTCTCTTCAATTA